TCACTGAATTAGTAGAAGTTATATGCTTATTATTTAATTATATTATTAGGCAATTACTTTCGTAATAGTGTATTGCTTAATCACTAAATGCTTAATCATTATTTCAATATTATATATTTCAAGCCTGCAGGTTAGAGGTTGTGAGTTAGACTCATGAGGCAACAGTGTCCAAAGGAAAACATACTTAAATCAGCAAAAATTTAAATATCAACTCCTACTTTGCAGTGTTGGACCTTAGGTAAAAAATTACTATCCGCCTTGTCAGATTGTTTGAATATTTAAACAAGAAACTAGTTTAATCAATGGGCATTGCAGTCATTGCCTCAGTTCAAGTACCATTTGAAAATATATTTTAATTTCTTATTCCTGCATAAATTTTGGTTGGTTCTTGATTCCAGCAAAGGAAACAATAATTGAAATGCCCAGATCAAGTGAAACATTACACTTCTCCCCTTAAAATACCAGCTTCTTAGAAACACTGAAGACAGATAGCTTTCTCAGGTCTAACTGTGAAAGAAAGCACTGTTAAAGTATCAGGCAGCTCACTTTGGCAATATGTATGTTTCCCAAGATAACACATTCAACTGTCCAGTTAATTTGAGGATAATACATATAATTCTGGAGTAATAAAATTATTTCATTACAGGAGCCAGAGAGGTATAAAATCACTTCTTGCATTACACCAACTATTGATCATGAAACAACAAATTGCATAGTTTGATAATTTGTTGGGAAATGACTTGTTTGTAATCTATCTTGTTCTGGTCAGAGGAACTATATATTTCTTGTATATAGCTAATAAACCAGGACTAACTGAAAACAAATACTGCTGAAAGTTTACAAGCCAGATATTCTAAATAATAATTTTATTTTACTGTAAAAAGCAATGGAGAGATTCAGCTTCTCCAAGGAAGGATCAACAAAAGAGATCAGACTTGGAAGGCAGGTGAAGCAGTGAGGCTTGAGTGGTGGGGAAGCAGACTGAGCAGGGGATCAGAGCAATCGAGAAAAAAAAAAAGGACTGTGAAAACTTTGCTCAATATGCAAACATTTCTGCCCTGACTGCTCTATTTGCCATGAATTTTGAATTTGATTAAAAGGCTTTCAGATAATTTGCCATAATAAAATATTTTCTTGTAATGAAAGCATTGCATATGAAAGTAATGGAAATTATTATACCAATTAATATATTTCTCACTCTGCTTTATTTTCTAGTTTATTGTGCTGGAAAGTTAGAGAAAAATGTTTCAAGCTGGGACAAGTTTGGACAGAGAAAGGGAGGAGCAAGGACTGCAAAATAACACTGAAATACACATACAAATAGTTTGTGAAATTGAACAACATATGCCAGAGAAGTTGTGATACAGACATAAATGGACATTAAATACATCAGTACATGTTTTTTAAAAATGAAAGATCACCAGCATTATTAATTTACTTGAGGTAAAGTGACACTCACTTGATCCCATCTGATGGCACCAAATTCAATTACTGTGCACCAAGGAAACCTGCCAGCTCTTGAAATCAGTTATCTTGTGTGCTGGTTAGTGTAGTCTTATGAAATAAGGGCTATAACTACGCTTCACAGGGAGGAAACAATTTTCATTTTCTTCGAAAAAGAAAAAAACAAGACACATTCAGGCATTTAATTCCAGTGAGTGTGCATGTGTGTACATCTACTCCAGATGTAGTCACAGACAACCAAAACTGGGACTTAAACTTCATGTTTATTCAAATCAATTATTTATGAGTATAAAGCAGTATTTTATTGCACATATGTATTTTCAGTAATACAGTCATGGTAATACTGTAAGTGATATTGTTACACTATATGCCTACTTTTATTCCACAATAACCATTTTTTCATGCCTATGGACCATATCATATAATAAGTAGTGTCCTAAGTAACAGAAATATATATATAAAAAAAGTGTACAAATTTCTAATGTGTTCAGCTTTGATTAAGGTATTCTTTGTATAATTGTGGGCATAATATGTATGAAAATTAACATCCTTGGCTGTCAGAAAAAAAATGAATCTGTATTACATGAACAAATAATGGTAATACAGAGCTCATAAAAACATGGAAAGGCATTCTGTGAGAATTTCTTTATTTTTGCTCCAAATTTGAAAAACTGTGTTTTTTAAAAAGCAGTATTTTAATGCAATCTCTAAGCAAATACATTGTTAAAGCTGTAGCTGAGATTCCAAAACCAAAGAACACTGCCCTTACTGTTTTTGACAGAAACTTTATCCCATCTGTCAAAAACTTTACTGTTTTTGACAGAAACTTTATCCCATTTACTCATGTAGATTATTACTTGTTTCCCTCCTACACTCTATGTTGCCCTTCACTGTCAAGCTGCCAAAGGGAGAGAGCAGAAAAAACCCTCACCTCACCACTTGACCCTCTCTTGACTCAGGGAGGCTTTAACCTTGTGCCTTACTGTGTGCTTTTGGTATTTTTAAAGGAAAGGAGTGAAACAACAAAAATAAAATTTGGTAGGTGGTCTAGAGTCTTTTTTTATCAAGAAAGAGTGGTCCAGCCATAGTGGCCATAGTGGGCCTGATCAGGTCAATGCCATATAGTACCATGCTTCCTGATGGTCTGCCTTTAAGATGCTCGGATACTCCATATGCTATTATGAGACTTAGGTCTGTACAGGAGGACTGAGGTGCCTAAATATTATTGACAGTCTGGGAAATGGCATATTTGATTACTTCAAAGATCAGAGTGCTTTTTCCATTAGCTGCTGGCATCCATATTGTGTTTACATCAACCTTCACAAGCCTCATCTACCCTTGTAGGGGGGCAACGTGAGCATCCCTCTGAGAAAGGTCTGTGTTGACCTGGTCTGTAATGAAGTATCAAAATGCTATCACTAAAATGCCAGGTAGGGCAATTAAGGCCATGTGAACTATAGATAGTTCTGTAGTCAGCATCTGTAAAGAAGTTCACCCCTGAGGTCACCCTAAATCGCAAGTCCTCCCACAGCAAGGGATGACAACTTGTTTTCCAGCTATTCTCTGGTTAAGCGATGTGGATAACTGATGAATGCTTTTGCACCACATTGTGAGGATATTCTAAGATAAGGTTAGGTGCTTATACATGGCAGTAATAGGGACTTGGTAAGAATTGTTTATAGAAATCCATGTAAGCAGGTGGCTGATGGATTGTCAGATGCCAGATGTTGAGATCTCTTCTCACTGAAGAGAACTTCTGACGTGAGTTAATGACTATATCTTTCGCTAGCCTATCCTTATATGATAGACTATACTGAGGATGTTCATGAAAGATGCAAGATGCTGTATGCACCTTGTTGCACCTCACCCTATGAGACTAGATTTGGCAATTCTTACAATTTTCCTGTATCACAATAACTGGTGATCTTCAGCAAAAGAGAGAAAAATATGATTACTCAAAACCTGACTGGACATGGTCCTGAGCAATTGTACAACTATTGCAGTAAAAAGATTGCATGAAGATCTCATCTTCCTGGAAAAATATGATGGAGCTCTGTGTTGTTGCAAGGGAATATTTGAAAATAACCAAGGAATGCAATAACAGGATCAAGATTAAAGAGAAAATAAATACGCACATATAAAAATTGTACAATATTTACCCAGATTGTCACTCAGTGTGACATTCTTAAATGGTCTGATCTCTGTGCTAGAGCTAAATCACCAAAATACTTCACTTTTTAAAAAGGAATCTTCACCTGCTCAGCTGATTTAGCTTTCATCCAGGTTATTGCTGCTGAAAATAAACAAAGCCTGCTGCAGAAAAATGAGAATCTGCCCCTCAAAATGTAAGACAGAGAAAGATTTGTGAGGGTAAATCTCACAAATTACATGGCCTGGAACTGAAGTGCCAGCAGAAAGGAGATTTTTGGGTCCAATAAATGCATGCCTTTGGAGACCACAATAAAAGGTATTCTAGTGAGAGTGCGTGTCTATGAAAATTCATTGCAGTGTCAGACATCTCAGGTGCCTATTTTATCAGGAATCATTATTTTGCTCAGTGTTCCAGGAACAGTTCTGGACAATGCAACAGCTTTTGCGCTCAAAGAGCTGAGATTTAGTCACCAGGCATTTAACTGCCAGGCATAAAGGCCACTGCTTGTGAACGGGGTTTGTTTGAGAGTGCATGTGTGCGTTGTTAACTGCAGATTAAGGGTAAAATTTTAAATTAAATATGTTGCAGCTCAGTCAATATTTTGGACTCAGCATGGGGATGGGAGGTGATGGGGACGTCTGAGTTCCTGATGAGCTTGGAATTACGACTGCCACTGAACCTCACCTTTGTGAATACTTACTTCAAATGTAAGAATCTAGTAAAATGAGACTGTGTGTTTGAATTTGCTTCTGATGAATGTGCACCACACATGAAATAGTCATTTTTATATATGTTTTCAGCTGAAGGCTGCATCCTTTGGGAATTGATATAATTTAGCAGTCTCCTCAGCTCCATGGAGCAAAGAAATAAGAAATACGAAATAGTAAGCAAACAGTTACAGTAAAACTAGTAAAACTGAAACAAATCAATGCAACACAAAAGGTATTCTGACCAGAAAACCACTTATAAATGAAGGAATCTCACATTCACAGAAAGAATCTTGTAACTAAAAGGTGAAATAAGCATGTGATCAGTAATGATTTGGCTGTCTATGCTGAAAAGCTTGTACAGGCAGGCTCAGGATGCAGTCCTCAGATATGCCTTTTGGAAACAGTGTTGAATGCTGTTACTGTCCCTCAGCTGTGACAAATCAAGGTAGAGCTAGAAAGAGAGAGATTCCAAGAGAGAAGAAAAATATTTCTTTTGTTTTGAATCAGCTTTAAGATAAATCAGAAAAAAAAAGAGACTTAGCATAAAAGCCTGTTGGCATGTCAGTCATTATTTGTAAAGATTTGATCAGGAAGCTTTTAGAGAAATTCACATGTAATTTAGTATTTATTGGAAGAAAAGACATTACAATTTTCCTTCCAGTTTCTTTGCCACTTTCTTGACCTGTTGGATCCTATTTTGAGCAGACTGATGCTGCACCAGGGGCTCTTGAGGTTTTAAGACCCAGGGACTGTTGCGACACTGAGAGTTCCTGTGGAGATGTGCTGTCTTCCCCTTTCATTTGCAGTCTGGTTAATGAGCCTGTAAATTGAATTAGCTCAGCCAAAGCACTCAAAATCCAAGCTGAAATGAAAACAAGATTAGAAGAGTATATGGAGGGTTACTTGTTTTGGTGCCTTTAGTTTCTTGAGGAATGCAGTAAGACTGAAATAATAATAATAATAACATCAACAACAAAAGAATATGTGACTGAAGACATATGATTCATTATATTGTACAAAGCAACCTATTAAACAGTTTTCAAATATTAGAGTACTGGGTACTCAGCTGGTGACTCAGTGTTTCCCAGTTCTAAAATGCAGTCTCTAAAGTGATTAAGGGTAGCTAAAGGGGAAGACTTCATATTTCTCATTTTTCCCTGGTGCTATGGTATGTGCATATCCTTTTGGACAATGTTTGGCATCTTTTTTTTTTTTTTTTTTTTTTTGATAGCAAATGAGTGGCCCAGGGAAGTGACTGCAAATTAGAGCTGTAAATAACTGAATTTATGATAGCAACAGTGCACTGAAGTGTGGGGGAAAAGCTGGATCTCACTGCATCATTTGTTCCAAATGGTTTTGAAATAATCAGTGTCAGAAGAAGAAAGCATAATGTCTCCTTCCAAGCTTTTCCTTCCTCTATAGATCAAAATGTACCCGTTTCTCTGTTAGCAAACAGAAAAGGAAGGCCTCCCTCCTCTGTTGGGATGCCAGTCTAACCCACTCTGCACCTGCTTGGGGCTGCTCTGTGCCAGCCTCATCCAGAGACTGGCTGTGACAGAATCTGACATCCCTGCCCCAGTGGCTAAATCACCATCCAAAGCTTCTGTTGATATAAGGCAGTGATTTCATCCAGCTTCAGTGTGGATTCATCAGTCAGTCCAGACAAGACTTTACTGACATTATTTCCCCGCTCATAGTAAGAGTTTCTCTGAATCAGACTGTGTGATGTGATTCCCAGTATGGTGGCTGAGATTGACAGAGCCTAAATGACTTAATGATTCACCCTCTTGCAGTTAGCTCAGCAATTAAACAGACCAATACCCTGCACTCTGACTGCTCATTCTCTATTTGCCTCTAGACTCAGTTATGGTTTACTGTCATGTGGAAAAGTCAAACCAGTCTTACCTCTTCTTTGTCCAGTGATGGCTTTTCTGCCTCCAGGTCTCATAAAGATTTGCTTTGGGAAGTCATGACTATTAAATTCTCCCCAGGGGTACACAAGAGAATGTTATGTTTCTCTCATCCTGAAGGCTTTATGAAATAATATCCTCTTCATCTAGGATTGAATACATTTGTATATACATAAATATTTCCATCGCAAAAACTGATATCCACCTTACCTTAAATTAAAAATAGTACAGCAATCCAGGGATTGGATGACATTTTTTATCAGCTAATGGCTGTATGGGAAATCACAGTATATGCAGATCAACTTCCTTATACAGGAGTCAGTCAGCTGTTATGTGCAAGACCAGTTGGAAAAAACCCAGCTTCACAAGATTTTGGAGTCTTTTTTTCAGCAATGATCTGAAGGCATGGAGAACAAACAACATATAAGGATTTATCAAGTTTTGAATAAAAGAAACCTGCAGAAAGAATACTAGAGGTAACATTAGCTAGTAACAATGGAACTAAATGAAAGTCCTTTATCTTATTTTCATCACTTTTATTCCCATGTATGAAATGAAACCTAAGCTGCATTATTATATATTATTATCACTGGAGTATCTGCTGTCTACTATCACAATAATGATGTGGTTTTCTGGGGAGAAAAAATGATAGGAATAAAGCAGTGAATATATTTTTCTCCTGAAAGCCATAGATGTAAAATAATATTCTAAATCACTATTTTTGGCTCAAAAAGATACGCCAAAAATACTACATAGTAGAAAGTTTGAGGGAGGCATGCAAGATCTGTGCTTCAAGTCAGATAGGGGGTTTTGGTAGACATTTGCATGCTCAGCAGCAGAATTTTCATACAGTCTGCAAGCAGTAACCTGTATGTACTACCACAGATAGTACATAGAATAAATCTGACCCAAAAAAGGGCTGTTTATGTGTCATTAACACTGATTCCCTCAGAATTAAAGCCCCAAAATAACTACTGCCCATCCAAAAACTTAAGTTGGATGCATACCGAGCCAAAAAAATTTCAGTAATATAAGAATAAAATTTAAGAAAACATAAGCCCACTCACAGTACTTATAAATCCTTTAAATTTCTTTAGAATAATCTCTGAGTAATTCTAGTAAAACTATATAATTAAACCTTTCTTGCCTCCAAGGAACATTTAAGATATGTGTTTAAATAAGGCCACTCACTAATGAAGTGTTGACAGCTCAGCAGTAGAACTCAGAAGTTGTTAACAGAGCAGAGCAACGCGGGGGGAAGACCACCACATCCAAAATTTAACAATGCAGCATTCAATGATCTACTTGGAGTTTGTCCAGAATACTGAAAGTACATACCTCCATATAAAAATAGCTATAAGGATTTTTAATCATATATATATGTGTGTGTATATATATATATATAAAAATATGTATGTATGTAGTCAAAAGACGAAAGAAGTTTGATACTATTTGTTTGAAGTTTTATTTAGCTGATATTATCCAGAGATGCTATCCATAAACATGGACAGTCTGGAAAGCATACCTATGGTACTTAACAACTGGCTATGAATCACATGAGGAAGAGCAGCACTAAATTGAATTTCACTAGACTGTTAGTTCTTTCCAATGTAACTGAATACCAGGTCCCTTTAATCCCTATACTTATCTTATTTATATTTTTCAACAGGCCCAACACAGAAAGATGGCCCATGTCTCTAGTGGGAACTAAGAGAAATAAATGTATGAGGAATTTCAGGACAGGGTATCTCTGCTGCTACCGAGTCTGTTTCGTGTGGAGGTCCAAGAATGGAAATGACTCTCTGAAGCTTTCATGTTGATTTTTTTGTCTTTGTTTGCAATGAAGAGGGACTGTTTGCAATCCCTGAAAATGAGCCTTGAAAACTACCATTAGTCACTTTTCTTGCAAAGCTTAAATCTCTTTTTAAAGTTCCTGGTTGTTCCATTGTCATTGAATTGATGATAAATATGGCATGGATACAGGAAAAATATTCTTCCGAGAGAATCAGTGCTTCTGTAGCAGGTTCTTCTTCCAAATCTTTGGTATTATTTGAACTGTGGCATTTGATGGAGAAGGGCTATCACATTTTAGGTCAGATTTCAAACAAAGGTGTTATAAACCCCACAAAGAAAGACGGGAGGACATTTTGACATTTAGGAAGTTCAAGCAGAACTTGCAAGAACTGTGTACAAATATTTTGCTCTACTATTAATATCTTCCAATCTCATTTTTTTTCTTTTGCAACACAGGCCCCCCTGTAGATTCCACTATAAATGACAACAAATCCAATTTGAGATGGGCTTAAACAGAGTGATTGTGAAATCATCAGACAGAAAACAACATTTTTGTCTTTATTTTTTCTATAGTTGCTCCACAGACTAGAAATCCTTTAGCTGGAAGTCACTCTCAGATGTGTTCTCTGCTAGATTCTGGCATCCAGATCTCATTCCTTGGCTCTCACCTGTTGTGGTTAGTGGGGAGGTGGCTTGGTGGAGAGGTGCACACTCTATTCTCAATCCTACTGTCACCAAAAATCATTTGGAAGAAAAGAAGAAAGGAATCCAAGACTACCTTTTAAGTGATAGTGAGACAAGCATTACTTTATTCTGGCCAGAGAAACGTAGTGTATCATTCCAGCCACGTGTCCCTTTCAAGGCTTTTCATGTATTTATACATTTTAGCAAATAAAGAAATTAACATTCATTGGTTCTAAGTTACGCAATTAATTTAATTAGTATTCTAACTTTCATAGGCTAATTTGGTCTGCATTCTTTGGTCCCATTATCATTCTTCCTTAGACCGAGAGTCTCCAACTTTCAGGCTGTACTGTCTTTGTTAATCCCCTCTGTGTCTTCTGGTTACTCCAACATGTCTTTGAAGGACCATAAATTTAAGGTCCCAGATGTCCACTCTTCAAGTCCCTCAAGCTTTGTTTATTAAAGCTTACTAGACCTAGTCCAGAGAAACGCAAAGCTTCAGTGGTTTAAAGATCAAACTGACAAGAGGCTGTAAAAAAGAAATTTAGCGACTTGCTACCATTAACTAAAAATTTAGGAAAATTACGTCATTTCCAGCACTACCCCACGTAGGACATGTCTTGACTGCAAATGTGACCCCACAAACTGGTGGTACTACTTGGTAGTTGGAACTTAATGTCTATTTTATTATCACATTATGTGAGGGAACAGACTTGCTGAATGATTGCAATGTGCTTTTTTGGTCTCTGATGAATTTGAGATTTTTTTTCCTGATGCATCATATCTATAAAACAATATTTTTTCATAACAAAGTTGTTCTTTCCTCCACAAATTGCTACTTTAATGGAAATATTTTTCTCTCATTATTTTTTCTGGTTCAAGTAGAACACAGGAGAAAACAGACCAGAGTTCTTAATGGAGCTCAGCATAGGAATTCAGTCCTATTTTAGACCCTAAGATTTGTGGCCACCAAAAACTTTGGTGGCTAGCTACTGGCTAAAGCTTCTGGAGAGACAGCTAACACTTATAGACATCCTATGATGACCACTTTTACATGACTACAAAAAATGGAGCTACAAACAATGAATTTTTATAACAGCTATGTAAGAGAAAAAATAAAAAATTATGCCTGTTATCAGCCATCTGACACGTATGGAAATTTCCAGCCACTATTCTTACTACTATAGTCAGTAGGCTAGAAGTGTTTTCCAGGCTCTCCTGAAGAAAAAGTGGCTTGTGACTCAGATATATAACACATTTAAGAGCCGACCTTTTACTTTGTCCAGAGTAAATAAACAAATTAGGTCTTCATCTGAAGCTGAAGTACCACATAATGACAGAAGCTTTTCCTGCACTGCTGCATCTGTGTTAACTCAGCAGCTTGACTCCTATGGAAATCTACAGTCGGAAGAGCAGAAATGAAGGAACTGTTGAAATGGCTGTGAATTTCAAGTTAAGGATAGTAATTGACTGCCTTTCCAAATGCAATGTAGAGCATCCCTCCATAACGATTTTGGAAATGGAGGCTTTCTGCTCACCCTGGCTAAAAGGGTAGCAGAAAGACCCCATATGTCCTCCTGCTTCATTGTGCACTCGTGTGCATGGTCTAGATACAGGTCTTGATTTCCTCGTTCATTTAATTCCTTCATTATATAAATTGAAGAAACAATGCACCTAATTCACTAATGTAAGCAGAAACACAGACGCAGAAACACAGACACAGAAACCCTGCCATTCTGTCTAACAATTATTTAGCAGAAGTTGAATGAAATCTACAAATAAAATGAACTGACAGTGTAAAGCTCTTGTCATATGAATAATTAGATATAATAATAGCAACAGAATGCTCTGTCTATTCTCCTCTGTAGTGTTTCTGCTTAGCAGCTGCTACACCTGACAAACAACTGCCAGATGCAAGAGTTCCCTGATGGGGACGTGAACGTGCTCTGTGTGTCCTCATGAACTTTACTGCAATTAAAATGTTATTCTGGACCTGCAGAAAAGTAGACAGATGTCTTGCCAACTTAGCAAATGGGAATATTCCTTCTCTGGGCAAGTGGGAAATGCCCTAAATCTGCCTCAGCTAGAAACAATTTTACCATTCGCTGTTCAAATCATCTGCTTTTGTAACCTCTAAAGCATGTTGTTCACAAACTTTACTGACTTGTAGCGGAGTAAAAAAATTCAACTTACCACATGTGCTTTTACAAACCAAAATACCTGCTCCTGAACAACAGGTGGGGAATCTAGGGCTTCTGAATATCTGGGTTCTGATGACTGCTCTGCTAATTTTGCATTAACAGTTAAAGACTACAGAATATGCTTCTGATTACTACTAGCGTAACGAAGTCAGAGACAGTCACAAACAGTCTTTGTAGAGTGAAAAAAAACTTAGTACCACAAGACACGTCACTGTGAATTCATATCATCTGTCTAGTCATGAATGACACCAGTGTGGACGGTATCAAGTCAGCCTACAGATTTGCTATATATACGTAGTAACCTGCAAATACATCACACAAAATGGTCCTGCATACACTGTGCATCAAAATAGAGTGTAGAATGCTTCGTCATAGGGTAGACTGGTCTATTAAAATGATTGTATGTTCAGAAATGAAGTTGTTGATTTCAACCTAGTTTACTTCTTTTTTTGGCATTTGTTTTCTTT